CAATGAACTAATAAAATAAAGACAATAAACTTAATAAAATATATATTTCTATGGCATTTAGGGGTTGAAATGACAATAAATTATCTTTTAAAGCAGCATGGGGTTTATGAGGGGGTCCCTGGAATTTTTTTTCACCCTTGTAAGGGGTCCCCAGACACAAATGGCTTGAGGACCCCTGCTTTAAGCAGCATTTTAAAACAGTGATGTGTGGAAGTGTTCCTGAGTCCAGAACAGAACCAGACCTGTCTTTCAGAGTTTGAACACAGAGATTAATACAGATTCTAATAATTTGTAGATGAGATTACGTCTCAGGAGCTTTATTGTGAAATGATCAGCTGTTTTTGTCTCTGGTGAGGCTCTGCTCATCGTTCCGTCCTGTTCAGCCTCTGACCTGTTGATGATTAACCTGAGCTGCTTCTCAGCACTGTTTACCTTTACAGCTTTTATTGTTCCTGTTCCACCTTTAATGAGACGTGTTGCTCAGGTTAACATGAAAATGACCTTATTTTGTCCTTAAATAGATACAATTTACTTTTTAAACATTCAACATGTTTATGTTTCACTGTGAGTATAGCTGCAGAAATGACTGCATTTGTTTCTATTTACCTTTTAGACATTTGTTGGAGTAGTAAAAGCGATACCAGAATGTGTTCATGTTTAGCAGCTGTGAAAGACAGATCTTTTATTTTGGCGGTGATGCTCTAACATTGTGACGGTGTCTCTCTCAGATTGTTAAAGAGTGTAATGACGGGGTCCGAAAAATGAACCGAACAGAAGAGCTGATCAGCATCGAGAAAACTCTGGAGTTTAAATCGAAGGTAAATGTCAGATTTCATCTTTTGTCTTGTGCTTCAGTTTCAGATTATTTTCCTGGAAACAAGAGCTGTTTCCTCTCTCTGTTCATTTGTACATTTAAACTGAAGAGAAGAACTTGTGGACTGAAAAGAATAAGGATAAAAACATTATTAAACTAATAAATCATTTTCACTCTGAGATGTTTGGGGTGGAGTCGTAACAGACATCAGAAAATAACCTGGTCTTTAATCCACAGGTTTGTTTTGGCTCTGACATCACTTCATTTATCATCTCTTATATGTTGGATTTATTTAAACTTAATGAGAAAGAGTTAAATCTCTCTTCAGACCTGTGCAGTTTGGTTCTAAGTTTGTTTTTATTAGGTTTCAGTTTGACTTCTGCTCCCTGTGTTTCACCTGTCATCAGCTCAGTCGGCTTCCTGCCCCGCCCACTCTCACCTGATCCCTGTTCTGCCTCATTTACCTGTCTGCACTGAGTTCTGTCCTTCAGCTGCTTCCTGTCAGTTTATTTGTTTTAATTCTGCTTCTACCGATTTTATTTCAACAAGAAACTAACTGACCTTTTACGTTTGAGCTTTTGGCTCATTATGAGCACATGAAGCTTTTATGAAGCACTTGAGCCAAAAGTTTCAACAGTTGTTTGATCATGTTTTGTAGCTTTAGCCACAGCGCCCCCTGCTGGTAACCTGCACCCCTGCAGTCACATTAAAGCAAGAAGAAGTTTATAAACTACAAACTGCTTCACTCTGGTGGAAAACATTTTGTTCTGTAACTTCTTTTAATCAACCTTTGGTTTAAAATGTAATTGGTTTGAAAATGTATTGATGCTTTTATTTTGAAATACAGATTGATGAGTTGTTGTATTTATTTATTTATTTATGTATTTATTCAAACAAACAAAAGAAAATCTATTTGCTATAAAAACTAAACACAAGTCATAAAAATTAAATGAAAGAAGGCAGAAAGAAGAAAATAAATCTTACATCTGTCACCTATTTTCTCAAAACAACAATTCAAACAAAAATCAATATGTGGTCCTTCCTGAACAACAATTCATGACAACATTATTTATCATACGTTTCAACAAACTAACTTTTATAATCCTCTTAAATATACAAACCTTTCCAGTAGTTTTATCATCAATCTCAGGCGTATTCCTTGAAATGGAAAAAAAAAACTTCTTTCCTTCAAACTGACTTGAATTGTGATTTTAAAAACATCTAAACTCTTTAATGTCCTGATGCATCTCAGTAATCCAGGTAAAAAATCAAAAGGAAAAAAAGTTGTATAGGTCTTCTGGACGGGTTCTTC